TTATACCATTTTACATCCTTGCCAGCAGTGATGAGTTCTTTGCTCCACATTCCCACCAACACTAGATTTGGTCACTTTGACATTTTTTGCCCCTGTGAAGGGTGTGACTATAACTTATGTTCCCCTGACAGTTAAAGAGATGGCGTATCATTTCGTGTCTATTAAATCTTACTTAGGCTTCTACGAATTGCCTACTCATAAAATTTGCTATTGCATTTCCTTTCAATGATATGTACATCTCTAGCTAGGCTACTCTATTCATTTAACAGGTATATATGTTCAAATACCTTCTCCCAAGTTGCACTTGTCTTTTGTTTATGGGGCTTTTGTCTTTTTTTTTTTAAACATTCTATGTATTTATTCATGAGAGACAGTGGCAGAGACACAGGCAGAGGGAGAAGCAGGCTCCCTGCAGGGAGCCCAGTGAGGAGACTCCATCCCCGACCCCAAGATCATGACCTGAGCCAAAGGCAGTAGCTTAACCACTGAGCCACTCAGGTGTCCCAGGGGCTTTTGTCTTTTAGGCTTTAATATCAATGTAGTCAAATTTACCAATCTTCTGTTTATGATCTGTGCTATTCGTAACTTGCTTAAGAAATCGTCCTCCAGAGGTGATAGAGATTTAAGTTTTCCTTCCCCATTTTTTAGTTTTGCTTTTCACATTCTTTGCCCTCCCCCCAATCTGGTTATTGCTGGGGTGTAGTAAAACTTGATTTTTATATAGCAACCTTGTACCCAAAAACCTCATTGAATTATGTGACTGTAGGGCAGCCTGGGTGGCTCAGGCTGATCCTGGAGACCTGGGATAGAGTTCCACATTGGGCTCCCTGCATGGAACCTGCTTCTCCCTCTGCCTGTGTCTCTGCCTCTCTCTGTCTCTCATGAATAAGTAAATAAAATCTTTAAAAACAAAAATTATGTGACTGTAATATTTTGCCTGTAAATTCTCTAGGATTTTCTACATAGAAAACTTGTCTACATTCTAAAATTTTAACATTTTATACTTTTTAAAATTAATCTTTAATGTGGGAAATTTCAAACAAACACAAAAGACAAGCTCATCAATCTTTTGTTCTTAGCACCCAACTTCAGCAATTTGCCATTCTTGTTTTAGCTACCCTCTCTCCCCACAACACTTTTATTTTTTGTTTTGTTTTATCCCCTGGAGTGTTGTTTTTTTTTTTAATTTTTGAGATTTTATTTATTTATTTATTTAGCATAAGCAGGGGGAGGGGGAGAGGGAGAGGGAGAGAGAATCTCAGACTCTGCACCCAGCATGGAACCTGATGCAGGGCTTGATCCCATGGCCCTCAGAGATCATGACCTGAGCTGAAATCAAAACTTGAACACTTAAACCGAGTCACCCAGATGCCCCATCCCCTGGAACGTTTTAAAGCAAATCCCAGATATCATGTTACTTCATCTATATAAATACTTTAATATGTATTCTGACAAAGCTTTTTTCAAATTAAGAAAAAAAACTACAATATCATTATGATACCCACCAAAAATAATTCTGTAATATCATCTAATACCCATTCCACATTCAATTTTCTCTCACCTTTCTATAGTTGATTTGCTCAAATCAGGATCAGGTTGCATTTGCTTCATGGGACAGTCCCTTCTTCCACTTGTCACTCCACGACATTTGTTAAAGAATCTGTCATTTGTCCTGTAAAATTTCCCATATTGTGATTCTGCTGTTTGTATCTTCATGGTGATTTGTTCCTGTAAGCTGCCAGTTAAATGTAAACTTGATTAGATGGGTTTTGTTTCATTTGTTTTTACAGGAATGCTTCTTAGGTACTTCCTTGTATCATACCAGGAGGCACATGATTTCTAAATATCCCACTTTTAGAGATGTCAAGATTTATGATTTTTTTTCCAAGTCTTAAACTTTTTCCCCCTTATTTTATTGCAATAGCAAGGACCTCTAGTACCACACTGTAGGTGATGCACAAGTATACGTTTTTAACTTGTTCCCAACTTTAATATTAAAGTTTTTAAAAGTTTGACTATTGATGATTTTTTTCCTGTAGTTTTTTAATCCAAGGAAAATCATTTTTTATCAAGGAATTCGCTGTGGTTGGGGCACCGGAGTGGCTCAGTGGTTAAGCATCTGCCTTTGGGTCAGGGCATGATCCCTGGGTCCTGGGATCAAGTCCCACATCGAGCTCCCTGCATGGAGCCTGCTTCTCCCTTTGTCTATGTATCTGCCTCTCTCTGGGTCTCTCATGAATAAATAACCTAAATAATAACTTAAAAAAAGAAATCTGCTGTGGTTATAGTTTTTATACACACTCTGGTTATATACTCCTTCCTCATTACTATGCTTTTAAAAAAAAATAAAATGTTGAAATATTCTTAAACCCTTTATTCATTTGCTTTCAACTTATACCCTTGGAAGAGAAACAATATTAAGTTTTGTCTAGAGACATAAAGGAGGCCCTTGCCTAGATCCACACTTCAGAGGATGCTACTCTGACAGTGTCTTTCCCTAGATCCACACCTCAGAGGACTCTGGCTGTGTCTCTTCCCATAGGGTGAGAATCCATGGTGCCAAGGTGATATGCCCAACCAGAACATGCCTCCTTCTAGACATGCTTCTCCTTCCCAAATAGCTCCATGCCTGCTTCTAAAGCTTGCTCAGGCCTCTGACTTCCTAAAGGTGAACTGTGCCAATGCTGTATGCCAGGAGTGTAGACTAAGCTTAGAAATACGAGGTGGGGAGTTCACATATTCATATGGACTAAGCATATGAACAACCCAGGGCTGGGGAAAGGGGCCAACTCTTCCCTGCATTGCCATGTTTTGTCATGAAAATCCATAAAGTCAGAGAATTTTAAACTCAAACCTTGTCTTCCAGGTCTTTATGAAGGTGTATTTGTCAAGCTAAAAGAATAACACTTTTTTTTTAATAGTTTGGTAGCCTGATTTGTAACTTTCAGATACTAAGAAAAATACTGTGTGGGCCTCAATTTGCACCCATCAGAATTCTGCAAATGTTGCTGGGTATCTGACCAGGAAATTTAAAACTTGTTTAAAACTTGCATTTCAGGGCAGCCCTGGTGGCTCAGTGGTTTAGCGCCACCTTCAGTCCAGGGTGTGATCCTGGAGACCTGGGATCAAGTCCCACATCGGGCTCCCTGCATGGAGCCTACTTCTCCCTCTGTCTGTGTCTCTGCCTCTCTCATTCTCTGCGTCTCTCATGAATGAATGAATAAAATCTTAAAGAAGAAAAAAAATTATAAAAGAAAAATTGCATTTCATCAGTGCTATTCTATTTTACAATCTAACATTTTCAGTATGACATCTATATCATCTTAAACAGTGTACTCAAACATTAGATTAAAAGTTCAGATTTTGGAATAAACCAAATCTTGATTCTAATCTAGGTTCAACCATTTGGTAGCAATATAACTTTGATGGGATGACTTAATCGTTTTGAGCCTCGATTTCACCTGTAAAATGGGAATCGGATCTATTTCATAGGGTTGTTGGGAGGATTAAATTAAATACACATTAAATGTTTAGCATAGGGAATAGCACATGGAAAATCCTCAATAAATTGCAGCCATTTTAAAGAACAGAGTTGAATGCTAAGCTAGGCACTGCATTAGGTTCTATACCTGCATTGTATCACAAAAATCCCCACAACCACCCATATTGGATACTATCATTATCTCCATTTGATACAAGGAATAAAGGATTATGCAAATGGCCTTTAAAACAACCTCATCAGGAGAGCACAACAGCAGAACATACATTAATTCCATTTCATGGAGAAAACTGACTCTCAGCTTTCAAAAGGCCTTCCAGGCAGCTGGAGACAGGTAGAACCAGAATGATCAGAGCCTGCTTAAGATTCTCTCTCCCTTTCCCAAGTGTGCAAGTGCTCTCTCTGTAAAAATATTAAATTAGAAAATAGTAATAATAAAATTAAACTAGGTATTTTTTTAAAAAGGCTCATTTTCACTTTTTCCCCCCATTTAAAACTGCTCCCATTTTGGTGTTTATATACATAGACATACACATGAATATGCAAGATGTCTTAATATGTACTAGATTTCTCTTTATTAGCTAATTCTGATTTCCTGTAAATGTTCAAATGTCTAATTAGGTCCATTCCAATTACTAGTAATGAGTAAAATAATTCCAGTTTCCAGAAATCATGTCAAAAAGCTAATCTGGGGATCCCTGGGTGGCGCAGCGGTTTGGCGCCTGCCTTTGGCCCAGGGCGCAATCCTGGAGACCCGGGATCGAATCCCACGTCAGGCTCCCGGTGCATGGAGCCTGCTTCTCCCTCTGCCTGTGTCTCTGCCTCTCTCTCTCTCTCTGTGTGACTATCATAAATAAAATAAATAAATAAATAAATAAATAAATAAATAAAGCTAATCTGGACATAATACCTTTTCCAATACTTAAACCTATCAGGCTAACATTAACACATTTCTTTAAGTAGATTACTTCAAAAGGTATCTTAAACACAGTTTGCTTTTTTTTTTTCTTAATATTTATTTATTTATTCATGAGAAACACAGAGAGAGAGAGGCAGAGACACAAGCAGAGGGAGGAGCAGGCTCCATGCAGGGAGCCCAATGTGAGATTCGATCCTGGGTCTCCAGGATCAGGTCCTGGGCTGAAGGTGGCGCTAAAGCCACCCAGGCTGCCCATAAACAAACTTTTCTATAAATTTAGATAAATGGGATTCCTAAACATTAATAGGGAAAGCATATTTTAGTCAATGTTTTACTAATGGCCTTTCCTTCTACATTTCCAAGGAAAATCCAGACATATGTAGATTTCCTAGCATCCCTTAAAAGTTAAAAAATTTCAAAATATGTCCAAAGAGATCTGCTTTACATTTATAAAAATAAAAGAAAATCTTTTTAAACATGATAATTCCCAATTTTTATATAGAATTTTGTCTATCCAGACCTTAATATCACATAACATTCCAAAAATCAGAACTCTTGAAAATATATGAAACAAAGAAAGAATATGGGTCATAGAAAATTTTAATATCAAATAAAATGTAATTTACATGATTACAATTTTTGGTTTCCATAAAAGTATTCTACTTAAATAGTGTAAGAGATTAACAGATAACAAAGCACAGTTTCCATGTCACATCAAATGAAATATTGACTGCCTATAAACTAGACAAACTGCCATGAATGACAATAAGCAATGGAAGCAAGTATCAGCAAGTTGCTTTCCAAGCTATCAAAAATGTCACAAGTTCATATTTTTCTAGTTTGTGATCCCAAAACTGGCAGCATCTTCATTTCATCCACTCTATTCTTATGTATTTGGAAAGCAGGTGTTATCCACCGTCCACATGAGCACTGTTCACCATACCAATTGAAAGAACCCAACTTGGCATTGCATTTGGGGCAAAGAAGCTGAAATAAAACAACTGTGTTATTTCATTCACTCACTTTTATATAAAACAAATAATTATCACTGGCAATATAGGCTATAAAAATAGGTAAGGCACAGTTGGTTAAGCATCTGACTCTTGATTTAGGTTCTGGTCATGATCTCAGGGTCAAGAGATTGACCCAGCCTGGGATTCCCTATTCAGCTCCCTACTCAGTGATGAGTCTGTATCTTGCCTCCCTCTGCCCCTCCCCCTCCTCTTCCTCCCTCCCTTTCTAAAAAAAAAAAAAAGAAACAAAACCAAACAACAACCAGGCAAGACACGGCTCCTACCTTCAAGGAGTTTATGATCACAAGATAAAATGAAATGGCAATTTACCATAATGATGGGGGACTATAATAATTGTCTAAGAAGCATGTTGTATCCTGGGAGTTTGGAGAAGGACTAGATTAATCCCAGCATGTAGGGAGAAAGGTAAAGTTTGAGATACATGAAACATAAGATTTCAGGATGTAGCATGTGTTGCCTTTTACATCAGTCTGCAGTTTAATATTTCAAACTCCATCTTCATGGCTAAAGAGTAGGAAAGCGTGTTAGGAATCTCATGTCAATGTCAATACTGATACTGACCATATGTAAGTTAGGCCGCAGATTCCTGGCTATTTGAAAACAAACAGGGGAACCTGGATGGCTCAGTTAGTGAAGCAGGTGAAGCAGCTGCCTTCTGCTCAGGTCATGATCCTAGGGTCCTGGGATTGAGCCCTGGGTCCTGCTCCAGGTCATGGTCAGGGAAGTCTGCCCCCCACCCCCCTGCTCATTCTCTCTCTCTAATAAATAAAATCTTAAAAAAAAAACAAAAAAAAAAACAGATGCTCCAGTAAAATAGATTAAAAAAATACTGAACACATTGATTATAATTTATGCTATTATATTTGAAAGTATTTTTTTAAGTTTAGCTCATTATTTTGTGCATGACATGAAACAGGGATTTCCTCTTTTAAGAGATATATATATATCTTATATATAAAAATATATATTTTTTTCTTTCTTTCCTTTGACAGAGAGAGCGCGAGAGCACGCACAGAAGCAGGGAGAGCAACAGACAAAAGGAGGAGAAACAGGCTCCTCCTGGAACAAGGAGCCCAATGTGGGGCTCAATCCCAGGGCCCTGGAATCATGACCTAAGCCAAAGGCAGATGCTTAACCAACTGAGCCACCCAGAGGCCCCAGGGATTTTTATTTTAATCTGAAGTAATTTAAACTTCTGGACATAGAACTCAGAAACCAAATTTGATTACAGAAGTATCTTAAATTTTAATATGACAAAATATACCACAAAGCTCAGATAAGCAAAAGATTGGAGAAAATATCTGTAATATATTAGAGGAATCATTAATATCTAGACTATATAAAGAGTTTCTATAAATCGATTAAAAAAACACAGCAAGGGATCCCTGGGTGGCGCAGCGGTTTGGCGCCTGCCTTTGGCCCAGGGCGTGATCCTGGAGACCCGGGATCGAGTCCCACGTCGGGCTCCCGGTGTATGGAGCCTGCTTCTCCCTCTGCCTGTGTCTCTGCCTCTCTCTCTCTCTCTCTCTCTCTCTGTGACTATCATAAATAAATAAAAATTAAAAAAAAAAAAACACAGCAAAATCCACAGAAAAATGGACCAAGGATGTAAAGAAAATTTATAGAAAAAGAAGCTATAAATAGCTGATAAAGGGATCCCTGGGTGGTGCAGCGGTTTGGCGCCTGCCTTTGGCCCGGGGCGCGATCCTGGAGACCCGGGATCGAATCCCACATCGGGCTCCCGGTGCATGGAGCCTGCTTCTCCCTCCGCCTGTGTCTCTGCCTCTGCCTCTCTCTCTCTCTCTCTCTCTCTCTCTCTCTCTCTCTCTCTATCATAAATAAATAAAAATTTAAAAATAAATAAATAAAAAAAATAGCTGATAAGCATGTAACAATATTGGTCCTTAGTCTTAGTCATGGAAATCCAAATTATTATAACATTTTAAGATGAACATTTTTTATCATTTCCTATACTGACAAAACTTTACCAGCCTTATAATATCTATTATGTCAAGGGTATGGGAAAATGGGTATATGTATTCAATGTTAGTGAAAAGCCAATTTGTATATGCATTTTTAATTTCAGGGTAGAATATTAGCAATATTTAAGATGTACATACTCCACTGCAGGGATTCCACTTTTAGGTCTGTTGGAATATTCAAATAAGCATACAGAGAAGTGTGCACAAATGTGATGTAGAATCTTCCAAAAAATGCCTTTACCTGTTTTCCAGGTTAAATAAGAGCAGCAAGCCAAAAGCACAAGCCAAGAAAGAAAAGAAAGAAAAGAAGGAAAAGAAAGGAAAGGAAAGGAAAGGAAAGGAAAGGAAAGGAAAGGAAAGGAAAGGAAAGGAAAGGAAAGGAAAGGAAAGAAAGAAAGAAAGAAAGAAAGAAAGAAAGAAAGAAAGAAAGAAAGAAAGAAAGAAAGAAAGAAAGAAAAGAAAAGAAAGAAAAAGAAAGAGAAAACAACAGGTCAAGTGGACTTCAAAATTAAGAACCTTACTGGCTGCAAACGATACCACCAAGAACGGGAAGTGACTACTAACAGATACAGCGTTTATTTGGGGAATGATGAAAATAATGATGTTGCAAAAATTCTATGAATATACTAAAAACCACGGAACTGCATATTTTAAATGGGTAAATTGTATAGTAAGTGAATTTTAATTAGCTCAATAAGCAGAATCCTTTGAAAACGTGTGTTTGAATATAAAATGCCTCTTTCTAAGCAAGACACTAACATAAACTAAGTTTCCTTACATATAAAATATGACTGTATCAATTCTATCTAGTTTATAAAGTTACTGTATTCAAGTAAAACATAGTGAATTTCACAAAATTTTCATTACACAAACTTTTATACAAACCATAAAAGCCTTTACAATCATTAAGACTAATTATATTAGATTAAGAATATCTTTAAGTTAACGTTAAGTAAAACTAAAGGAGAAATGTGGCCATCCCAGGATGCTCATATGAGCTGCATTTTTTTTTTTAACGATTTTTTAATTCATGAGAGAGAGAGACAGAGACAGAACAAGCAGGTGGAGAGGCAGAGGCAGAAGCAGACTCTCCATTGAGCAGGAAGCCTGACGTGGGAATCGATCCCAGGACCTGGAGATCATGACCTGAGCCAAAGGCAGATCTTTAACCATCGGAGCCACCCAGGCACCCCATGAGTTGCATTCTTAAGAGTTAACAGGAAATGAAAATGATTCTCTTAGCAAACATACAGAACTGTAATGTCAGGGAAAAAGAGAATTGCATGGACCCAAAATTTAAAAAGAAAGGGAAGACAAGAAAGAAACTTTAAATATAATTTTAAAATCCTTGATTTACCCTACTTGTTACCAAGTTTGAGTTTTGTTAAATATATTCGAATCAGCTTACATTAGTCTTCTACTTGAAAAAATATAAATAGCCTTAAAAGGAATTAACTGAGACAAACAGCTCTCAAGCAGAAGTGGTTCACTACATTAGATAGATTGGGTTTTTATTTAATTAATTTATTTATTTGACAGATTCTTATCTACACTAGAAAGATACAATCTCCATAAAGAAAGCAGTTATTATGGAGTGAAACACCAGTTAAAATATGGTTTAGAGTGTAAGAAAGAAGAAAAAATAGAGATGATATAATGAAACTGCAGAAAATGTGTTCTTACCTGTCCATCCATCACACCCAACAAAGCAGATTCCATCCACTGCACAGGTTCAATGAAATATGATGTACATTGAGCCTGACTCCCTGTGGTGAGTGTGAAAGATGGTGTCACTCTCTTGTGGGCAAAGGCTATGGGACCACTTCCTTCATTATGATCCAAAATGCTAGAACTTCGAAATAAAGATCGCCTGCAACCCCCAAACAAACAAAAACATTAATGACTTTCCAAAACGATGAAAAAAATAGATGCAATGTGCAGTATTTCTTAGCAAAATAAATAGATTGCTACTTTAATTTTTTTTTGCTGTTTTAATTTTCAATAACCTCTACAAGTAACCTGATTGACTTTCACTCATAAAGAGTTTATATTTTTTAAAGATTTATTTATTTATTTATTTATTTATTTATTTATTTATTTATGAATGATAGACATAGAGATAGAGAGATAGGCAGAGACACAGGAGGAGGGAGAAGCAGGCTCCATGCCGGGAGCCCGACATGGGACTCGATCCCGGGACTCCAGGATCACACCCTGCGCCAAAGGCAGGCGCTAAACCGCTGAGCCACCCAGGGATCCCCCATTTATATTCTTTTTAAAAGCAGTTTTGGGGACACCTGGGTGGCTCAGCAGTTCAGCATCTGCCTCCGGCTCAGGGCATGATCCCAAAGTCCCAGGATTGAGTTCCGCATCAGGCTTCCTGCCTGGAGCCTGCTTCTCCCTCTACCTGCGTCTGTGCCTCTCTCTGTGTCTTTCATAAATAAATAAACTCTTTTAAAAAATAAAAAAATAAAATCTTTAAAAATAATAAGGGAAAAATAAAATAATAAATAAAAGCAGTTTTGAATTTAAAATTTCTATATTACCCAATTAACAAATTCTTCCTATAGATCTTAAGAAAATGAAATTTTCAGTACATTTCAGCTACTGAGACAGGATAAAATCCAGAGGACAGAAAATATTTTACCTGCACTTTCTACATTTGTAGAGAATGCCATCTTTCAATCCCTGTGAAATGGTGGTTGGGTCCACAGCAAAGAGTTCTTGAGGTAAGTTCTGTAATTCTACATGGGATAATTAAAATGTATCTATCTGTTGAGATCAACTTGGCATTTTCAGACAAAATTCAACTAATGTGGGCAGCCCCGGTGGTGCAGCGGTTTAGCGCCGCCTGCAGCCCAGGGTGTGATCCTGGAGACCCTGGATCGAGTCCCATGTCAGGCTCTCTGCATGGTGCCTGTTTCTCCCTCTGCCTGTGTCTCTGCCTCCCTCTCTCTCTGTGTGTGTCTCTATGAATAAATAAATAAAGTCTTTAAAAAAAAAAAATCAACTAATGTCAAATTGAGGCAAGAAGTGCTAACCTCAGAAATTTAAAAAAAAAAACAAAACTCCAGTGTTAAGAAATCAGGGTGAGGTCAGAGAGCATAGTGAAGAAGCCCTTGGGTTCTGAGCACAGACTGCCTGAGTTCGAATCCCAGCCCACCACTTACAAATCATGTGACCTTGAACAAGTTATTTTCAGAAGGAAATAACAGTACCTGCACCAAGGGATTACTGGAAAAGTGAGATAATGTACCTGAAGCTTTTAGTGTCAGACTAAAGGGCATCTAAAAGGACCCAATAAGTACCAGCAATTATTGCTCACCTGGATACTTTTCTGTAACCTTCTGTAAACGATATTGCTTATAAATTGCACTAGAAGTATCTACTTCATATCCCATTGCTTGGTATAATTTCAGTTGCCACTCAAATCCCTCATTCATCCTGTAAGGACAAACAAAGTTAAGTTTTCTTAAATGAATAAAATCACATCACAAAAACAGAATTATTTCTATAACAACTCACTTAGCCTCTGGTTTGATGATCTGGAGACTTTCATAGGCCTTTTCAAAGGTAAGCTGGTCAGTCTTCATCATAAAAGCAGTCACTACAGCCACACTTCGACTAACTCCTGCATGACTGAAAAAGAGACCTTTAAAATAAAATAGCAGCAATTGAAAAAATAAAAAAGGCCCGCTCCCTACCAATGGTAAAGCTCGGGTCCACTTCAAGTCTGCTTCTTCTACCCAAATAAAGACTTTGCCTCTGAAATACCACCAATATACAAAAGAAGTATTCCTTTAATTCTCTAATTTCTCATTCTTTTTAAATATTGAACCATGTGGATGTATTTACCTTTTAAGACTTTATTTGAGAGAGAGAGAGAGAGAGAGATAGCATGGGCATAAGCAGGGAGAGCAGCAGGGAGAGGGAGAAGCAGGCTCCATGCAGGGAGCCTGATGGTGGGCTCAATCCCAGGACCCCGGGGTTCACCACCTGAGCCAAAGGCAGATGCTCAACTGACCCAGCCACCCAGGCATCCCTGTATTACCTTTTCAGAAATAATTACACTAATTCTAAAAACTTCTCTAATGGCTTTGAAAAAAATCCAAGCTCCTGTGTTCTTGGCATTAAGGGTCCTGAAGATCTGGTCCCAGGCTTCTTTCCATTTCACTACCTCCTTAGGTTCCTTTATGTAAATATTTAGGAAGAGTGCTGGCACTCAGTAAAAGCCCTGACTTCATAAACTAGTCCCCCGCTCCAATCCAACCGCAGAGGGACTACTAAGAATTCCCAAACACCTATGAAGATTCTCCTCTTGGCATTGCTACAACCTACTCCATCATTCCCCCTGGGCACGCTTAGGGCTCCCGTACCTCCTAACTGATTTCTCTCTCCCCATTTCTCGTCATCAACCACCCTCTGCCCCAAACACACACAGAGAGAAAACCATCTGCTTTTCCGGTGAAGTTTGAATAACCTTGTCTTTGTTCATGTCTTAGTCCACGACTTGCGAGGCAGTCTGCATTACCATCATCTGGGGAGGTGTCTGGCTTCTCCTGAAGACCTCTGAACTCTGTTTAGCTGCAGGGACTTTGCCGACTATCAGCCCCGCCGCCCCCCTTAAAAACAACTCTGGCGGGCAGCCCGGGTGGCTCCGCGGTGGAGCGTCTGCCTTCAGCCCAGGGCCTGATCCTGGAGTCCCGGGATCCAGTCCCGCACCCGGCTCCCTGCATGGAGCCTGCTTCTCCCTCTGCCTGTGTGTCTGCCTCTCTGTGTCTCTCTCTGTGTGTGTCTCTCATGAATAAATAAATAAAATCTTAAAAAAAGGGAATAAAAAAAAAAAAAAAGCAACTCAGGCCTGGGGGACCGGCTGGGGGGGGAGGGGACAGGGGGGACTGGGACGGAGCGGGGAGGAGAGGGGACGGGGGAAGGGGACCAGACGGGAGGAGCGGGGAGGGGGAGGAGGGGGACAGGACAGGGGGACGGGATGAAGGAGGGGGAGTAGGGGGTAGGGGGACGATGGGGACGGAGGAGAGGGATGATGAGGAAGGGGGAGGAAGGGGACGGAGAGGATGGGGACGGGGGAGGGGGAGAAGGGGGATGGGACAGGGGAGGAGGGGAGGAGGGGAGGAGGGGGACGGGGCGGGTGACGGGACGGGGGGAGGGGGGGAACGGGACGCGGGAGTGGACGGGACGGGGGACAGGACGAGGGGAGGACGAGGGGGGAACGGGGCGGGGAAAAGGACGGGGACGGGACGAGGGGGTACGGGGGGAGGGGGGAAGAGGGGGACGGGGCGGGGGAGGGGGAGGATGGGGAGGGGGAGAAAGGGGACGACGGAGGGGGAGGAGGGGGATGGGACGGGGGTACGGGACGCGGGGGGGGACGGGACGGGGGAAGGGGACGGGACGGGGGGAGGGGACGGGACGGGGGGAGGGGACGGGACAGGGGGAGGGGGACGGGGCAGGGGGAGGGGGGAAGAGGGGGACGGGACCGGGACTGCGCGGGCCGCAGAATGAGCCAAGGGAAACGAGTCTGAGTCAGAAGGCAGGGCGCTCGCTCGCACGGCGGGCGCGGGCGGGAGAGGAGGTTCCGGCGCCCGGGCTGCCCCCCCCCGCGGGCTCTCACCAGTGCACCAGCACGGCGCGGCCCTCGGCGCGGGCCCGGCCGATGAAGGCCGCGCAGCGGTCCAGGTGGCTGAGCAGGTCGGTGTCGGGCTCGTCCAGCGCGCGCACGAAGAGGCGCCGCAGACCCTCGGTCCCAGCTACCGCCGTGAGGTCGGGCTCCTCCGAGTCCACCGCCAGCACGGCCGTGATGCCCGCCTCCCTCAGGAGGCCCGGCTCCGCCACGGCCGCCGCCCCGCCCAGGTACAGCCCGGGCCGCACCTCCAGCAGGTGCCCGGCGCAGCTGGCGCGGCCACCCCCGCGCTCCGGCCGCTCGCAGCCATGGCCGCCGCGCGCCCCCAACATGGCGACGGCAGGGGGCGTGGCGGCCGCGGGCCTACCACCGAGTAGGCGGCGGGCTAGAACGGCCTCCCTCTGGGCGGAGCCGGCCTGCGGCGCGCACGGCTTCCTCGGAGGACCCCGGCGACCGCCCGCAGGTGTCCCACCTGGGGGAGGGGCTGCTGCCGCGGAGGCCCAGCCTCGGCTCCCGCACCTTGGCGGTGGAGGATAAACTCCCACACACGCGGGGCTCCCCAGGCTTATAGTGTGGGGGCTTCGTGGAAAGGGACAGCAGGAGAAGCTGGACCCAGATTTGAAATGATGATCCCACCAGCTGAATCAGCAGCAGCATTCCATGCATTTGGGGTAAAACCGTTTTGTCAACATTCATGAAGCCATTTGTTTGTATTTCTTCTCTTTTTTTCTCTCTTTGCCCACTTTTTTCCACTGGTACATGAATCTCCCTCTTGTTGATGCATACTGTCCTCTATACTTTGAAGACAGTAATCCCATTTTATGTATGGCAGTAACCTCCAACCAAAGACCACCAGGAACCCCGTTCACTTCCTTATCATTTGCATGCTCACCGAAGTAGCATTTTTAATTTCCTTCAAGCACTTTTCTTTTGCATTCCTTTGCATTTTCCAGTTTAGCTAATTGGTGCAAAAGGCCTAGTTTTCAGCCCACCTTGGCTTTTGACATATCTCCCTTACTAAATTTAGCCTTTCCTAGCTTCTGCTTTAGGATATGTGATGCCGAAGGGCACTTCTAGCTTCTGCTTTAAAACGAGAGATGTGAGCAGCCCCAGTGGCTCAGCAGCTTAGCGCTGCCCTCAGCCCAGGGTGTGATCCTGGAGATGTGGCATCAAGTCCTACCTCGGGCTCCCTGCCTGGAGCCTGCTTCTCCCTCTGCCTGTGTCTCTGCTTTTTTTCTCTCTTTCTGTGTGTGTCTCTCATGAATAAAGAAATAAAATCTTTTTTAAAAAGTAAATAAAGTGAGAGATGTGTGGGTCTTCCTTTCACTTGAACACTTAGAGACCATTGTAGGGTTATTAATTGGCCTGACTTCAATATTGTTGTGTCTCAGGGACTAGGGAGGCCCCAGAAGAGGGAGGGAGATCAGGGGAATGACTGGTCTGTGGAGCAGTCAGAACATATACAACATTTATTAAATTTGTCATCTTACGTGGGTGTGATTTGTGGCACCCCAAAATGGTTATAATAGTAACATCAAAGATCACTGACCAGGGACACCAGGGTGGTTCAGCGGTTGAGCATCTGCCTTTGGCTCAGGTCGTGATCCCCAGGTCCTGGGATCGAGTCCTGCATTGGGCTCCCTGCAGGGAGCCTGCTTCTCCCTCTGCCTGTGTTTCTACCTGTTTCTCATGAATAAATAAATAAAATCTTTAAAAAAAAAAAAGATCATTGATCAGAGATCACCGTAACAAATGTAATAATAATAAAAATTTTGAAATGTCGCAAGAATTGCCAAAATGTGACAGAGACACGAAGTAAACAAATGCTCTTGGGAAAATAGTGCCAATACACTTGCTCAATGCAGGGTTGCCACAGACCTTCAGTTTGTAAAAAGTGCAGTACTTGTGCAGCACAATAACAAATCCTGTGTACGATTTGTGCTTTTATTATGTGATTTTGGACAGAGTCCAAGGAAGCAGGGCTTTACTCTAGATTGGATGCAGTCAGGAAGTGGTGGTGATTCTATGATTGGGTATCTCAGTGCATTTTCCCTACAGGGAGAGAAGGCTACAGAGATGCTACAGGTGCAAATGTTCAAGAGGTTGCAATCCTGGTACTGGCACATAGACCAGACACATAGACCAATGGAACAGAATACAGAGCCCAGAATAGACCTCACATATTTGCTCAAATGAGTTTCAACAAGGGTGCCAGTGGGAAAATGGGGAAAAATAGTCTCTTCAAGTGGTGCTGAGAAAACTGTACATGCACATGTAGAAGAATGAAGTGTGATCCTACCTTAAACAATATAACTAAGGACCTAAATTAATTTAAAATTGATTAAGGACCTAAACATAACACTGTGAATCCCGGGGTGCCTGGGTGGCTCAGTCAGTTGAGCATCCAATTCCTTTTTTTTTTTTTTTAAGATTTATTTATTCATTCATGAGAGACACAGACAGAGAGAGAGAGAGACAGGCAGAGGGAGAAGCAGGCTCCCTCACAGGGAGCCCCATGCAGAACTCGATCCCAGATCCAGGGATCATGACCCGAGCCAAAGACAGGTGCCCAAACACTAAGCCACCCAGGCATCCCTGAGCATGCAATTCTTGATTTCAGAGTCATGGGATCAAGCTTGGCACTGGACACCACTCTCAGCACGGAGTCTGCTTGTTGCTCTCCCTCTACCTGCACTCTCATAAATAAATAGATAGATAGATGATAGATAGATAGATAGATAGATAGATAGATAGATAGATAGATGATAGATAAATCTTTTTTTTTTCTTTTACAAATGTGTTTATTTTCTCGTGTATTGATGTGGCTTCAGGCCCTGCTTAGGGGAAATCATTATGATGAAAGCCCAGGCTTACACTTCCTATTTGTAGAATCAAACCCACTGCTTGACCTGTAGGACCATGACCAAGGGCACCCTAGACGCCATCAGGGAGGTGAATTCTCGGTGACAGGGCTTGGGAACGGGTTCCTAGGGACAGCAGTGCCCACGCTCCTTTGCACACTCCTGGAGTCTGACCCATCCTGGGAAAGCTGATGGCAGGGTCATTGCTATAAACAGCTCTGAGGTTGCCCCTTGAGGAGAGAGGTACCCAGCAACACCTAGCACTGAGGAAAGAGCTGGACTTGCCAAGTAGAAGTATTTACAAAATGGCAATGAGCTGTTCTGTTTCTCTTCTTTAATTAAAAAATAAAATTATCTTCAAAATTAAAGAGAAAATTGGGGCCAGGGTTCCATCCAGCTTTCTTGCCGTGTTGCTCCTTCCTGGTAGTGATGCCTGCCTGGTCACTGTGTGTGTGGAATTCGCTTCCTGTTGGGAGGAGAGGGTTGGGTGGGCACATGGCTCCCAAGCTTGCCAGGGGCTGGGGCAGGCTCAGAGCAGGCCCCTGGTATGGAGTGGTCCAGGAAGAGGGTGCTGACAGGCCCCAGAGTGCACAGGATCAGGGTCCAGGGGAGGTGGCGGTGGGGTAGGCGAAGGGGGAAGGGGCGTGCAGCGCCAGAGCAGCTTCTCCTCCAGGAAGGCTCCGTCTGCAGGCCCAGGCCCAGGATCTGGGGTTCACGTCTGCTGCACCAGGTCAGGCCGAAGCCCGGATTAGGGGGAAGGCCTTGAGCCGGGTGGTGGCCGCCACGACATTCTGAGGCACGTCCTCGTGGGCTAGGTCCACGAGGAGCACGGAGTCACCCCGGTGGCGGGAGCAGGCCAGCACTGTCAAGTCCTGGGGGACCCCCAGGTCAATAGCTCCAGGGGTTCTGCAGTAGGGAAGGTCATCCGGGGCCAGCTGGACGTCAGTGCCACCTTGAGGCCATGCACCTGCACTTTCACGGGCGCAGCATGTAGTGGTAGCTCCTGGGAGCCGTGGGCAATGCCTCCTCCTCGCCAGGGGGTGGAGCCGACGTTGCCACGCCCGGGCGCCCACTGCCTTTCTGTGGCCAAGGCTCCCAGCCTCCACGCTGCACCCCGGCCCCGACCTCGGCCTTGGCATAGCTAATTCTCCCGCTGCGCGTGGCCTAGCTAGAGGGTGTCACGGCCGCGGCACCGCCCACCCGCTCCAGGCGCACCAGCAAGCTGAGCGTGGAGAGCTCCGACGGCGCGGCCGGGCCCACGGAGCCTCCGTCTGCGCCCCAAGCCTGACCACCTGCAGCCTCCAAGCTCCACGCCCGGCCTCGAGGACCCTCAGCGACCCCTGGAAACACGACCTTGCCACAAAAAGGCGCGCTCCTGGCGTATGCCAATAAAATCTTAAAAATATATATATATATGTATATTATATATATATATGTATAAAACTCCTAGGAGAAACCTAGAAGTGAATCTTCATGGCATTGGATTTGGCAATGATTTCTAGACACAGCTGCAAAAAAATAGACCAATAGGATTATGTCAAAATGTGGTGTTTGTGCACATCAAAGGAAATAAAAGGATAAAAGGGCAACCTGTGGAATGAGAGAAAATAATTGCCAATCATATATCTAATAAGAAATTAATATCCAGAAAATACAAGGAACTCTATCTGAGTGATCTGGGCATCATGGCTGAATAAGACGTTCCGCATCTGTGGTCCCCACCCCCACCCCAAGAACAAGTTGACATCCATCCACAGGCAAAAAAGGCCTGGGAGCTGCGAAATCCTGCACCATATGCCAAGGGTCCCAGGAGGAGCCTTGCTGACCTGCGTGTGAAGTATTAGGCACACAGACCGTAGTCCTGGCTACAGACCCTACAGCGGCCTGTGAACCATCTTCCTTCCCTCTTGGCTCTGGGCAGGGAGCCTGCAGAAAATCACTGACTTAGATAATCAACTGGGAAACGAGAGATTTGTGAAAACCCAAGTTTCCAGCAGAGAAGTTCTAGCAGACAATTGGAGCAAAAAATATGTTTGGATTCATCAGAGAGTGTAAGAGGACTTTCCTCACATAACTCCTTCCCCAAGGCAGCGCAGCTCAGGAACAAGAAAGGTCTCCTGGGCCTGAGCTTTATCCTGGGGGGCAGAAGGGGGTAGGGGTGAGGGAGTGAGAGCATGTGAGTGAGCACCAGTTTCCCCAGCTGCTCAGGATGCCACGGAAGAGGCTCATTGCTCTCATGCCCCATGCAGAGTACTGAATCAAGAGCTCCAAGATCGGGGAGGGGATGGAGGGAAGATGCTGAGAGAGCCACACAAAGGACTCTCAGAGGGCACTAAAGTGGATCCTGCTAAGTGATTCAACAGAATCACTTGATTCCATCAAGAAGCCTGCCCAGGAGCTGCTAGGGAGGCCTCGCCCCTGGATCCCCCATCTGCCCATGGCACCCCTAGTACTCTGTGCACCTCACTCACA